ATAATAATAATAATAATAATAATAATAACAATAATAAATGACAACATTCTGGATTGAATCCCTATGTCCCAGGTTGGGACACGGTCAACCCACGGTCCACCGGCTAATGCCGTGATATAAATCAATAATCAATAATAATCAATAATAATCAATAATAATCAATATTAATGTACTGAATAGTAAGTTATTGTAGTGACGGCATGGCAGCTTCTAGAGCGTGGCTTCCGTCGCACTACCCGTACCCCCTCCTCCCCCTCTCACACACACACACACCCNCCCGTAGTTTAAAACGAGAAAAAAATCCCACTATAGCGCTGATATAAATCTCACTTAGCCTTCTGATCAGTCACACACAGTCAACACCCTACGTTGCCTTAAAATGAGAATGAAACGCCACTAGAACGTTTATATATATATATCTCACTCGGTCTTCTGATCGATCACACACAGTCAAAACCCTCGTTGGAAAAAAAACACAAGAGCGCTGATGTGCATCTCACTTAACCTTGTGATTAGGCTGTCTATCACACAGTCACGGCCCTATAAGCCATCGTGAATCTCTCCGAGATATACGTAAACCGCGATAGTGACAGAGGTATTAAACGGCTACGTGGCGTGTGACAGCCAGTAATTGTTTACGAGGGTAGAGGCTTGGCGGCGGGGAGGTGTTGTGGGCTTGATTAGTCCGTGTGCGAAAATTACAGGAAACGCGTAAATAATGTTTTTCGGTGTGTCGGTGCGTTTGACGGTGTGTTGTTTGAAACGTTTAGTCGTGTTTGCTGTGTCTAAATGGTTAGTTTTAGTTCCCGTTTTTTGGAGATTTGTAAACGAATAAAGATGTGTATTTTACGTAGTAAAAAATGGCAAGTTAAACGGGCAATTTTCTTTTAGTTTTCTAGTTTTTAGTTTAGCTAAATTTTAGTTTTAGTTTTAGTTTTCTTTGAAGTTTTTTTTAGATTTGTAAAACAATATGTTTTTTAGAAACGTTCACTAACGTTAGCATTTTTTAACGCGCTAATTTAATCGTGTGTGTAAGGGTGAGGGTTTTTTGTGCGGGTTGTTTTAAAAATGTTTTTGCGTGCGATGTTTTATGCGTTTTTTCGTTCTCGTTGTTTACTTGTATTTTTTGCATTTTACGTAGTAAGAATGGCAATTTGACCGGTTAGTTTACTCCCGAGGTGGCAAAGAGAACTTTCCTTCCTTATGTTTTCCTCCTTCGCATGGGAGAATCGCGCTTGTTCAACACCTGCTAGGCGGTGTTGGGTGGGTGGGTGAGGTGAGCAGCAGGCCTGCTGGCTGCGTTATCTCTCCTTTATCTACAGCTATACGAATAAACACACGCACGCGCGCTACTGTGTGCGTCCTGAACGCTCTCCCTGTTCCAACGCTCGCATGACGAGCATATTATCAGCTTTTATAGCGAAACACAAACAACGATTTCGTTCGAGCGCGTGCGTGCTAGATAGTAACGTGAAAGATAGGTTGATAGTTGATAGTTGATAGTTGATAGTTTAGTTCTAACCGCGCGTGTGTGAGTGTGGAGGGACAGACAGGGAGCGTACGAGGAACGTAGCACGTATAGTTACTCACACACACTGCGAACATCGAACACGCATAGATATGTTGATCGCTAGATTTTTATCCAGCATTCTAGCGGCTGTGTCGGTCGTATCTGCCGCGGAATCTCTTGGTAAGCGACAGTAAAAATACACACCCGAGTCAACCACCAACGTTTTAAATCCTTTAGACTGTTTTACTATTTATTTTCGTTTCATTTCATTACTGCAGTTTACGATCGGACGATGCGAGTTGTTAGATCGCAGATGGTATGTCCGCCACGTGTCTCTGTTATAAGTGCATGAGGTGGGAACCATGTATAGGTTGATTTCTGCGTAGATGGCCAAGCTGTGACTGTGGGCTTCGAGTATTGATGGATGCTCACCCACGCCGGATGCTCTTATATTTCCATAACTAGGTAAATACGGAGCGGACATGGTCTCCACATCCGGCTTCGCTTCCGGAGCGCGCATGGCAGTGCAGTATCACGTGACTCAGTCCGCCATCGTCATGGGCGTCGGCGCCATCGCCGGCGGACCTTTCTTCTGCGCCGAGAACAGATTGGATATAGCGGAAATCTGCATGACGAAACCGGATCAGATTTACGGTGGGTGTACGAAAACTCGGATCCGACGATGACAGCCGCTAGGCGCGCGTGCCGGAAGGAGATAACGCAAGGCTTACTAATAGATAAAGGATGATCAGGATATATGAGGTCCATTAGGAGCTGACCAGCGCTGTGTAAACCTTTACCCCCGTCCACGGATGAATCTCATTGTGCTGTAATAATACGTGACTGTGAGATTGAGAATAATCGTCACAGAATTTGTCATTAACGAATTGTTTACCCGTCGAAGTAAAAAAAAATAGAGCCTTAGCCGCGCAATACGCGTCAGGTATGTTTTCCCGATGGAAATGGAATAAAATTTATGCTTTCATAACGGCCGCGGTTGCAGAAATTCCGTTTCCAATTCCATCCCGAGGAATTAGAGAACCATCCGTAATGGCTGCAGTTAGCAAAAAAATACAGAAAAATACACGGATGCCGCGGTGGCTCCCACACGGACACAGCGTCCCTAATTGTTGCTAAGCAACGACAAACAGCGGCGCCTGCCGGGTTCATCGTGGTTATAATTTTGAGATTGACGTTATTTCATTAACTTTTCCGCACAATGATAATAATACGAATTAACGGGTTGGGGTTTATATTTTGCGTGCGATCGTGATGCCATGATTATTATTATATTTTGTTAGCCATTATTTTTTATTGCGCTATTATTTATACGCCAGCATACGAATTGAAAGTCCCATCCGTCTGATTGATTTCGTTTTGGCGCTCGTTTAAAAGGTTTTAGTAGAAAGGTTAATCACCTCGTTTAACACGCGTCAACGTTTCGAATAGAAAGCGATGGTGTAAATTCAAATGTCGTGCAATAGCTGACGATTATTACTGGGGCTGTACGTGTTTAAATAGTAACATTTGTCGTTGTCATGTTAGAGCTATCACGGTCATACAATTATACACACAAAAACAAGCGCGCACGCACGCACGCACGCACACACACACACACACACACACGCACGCACGCACGCACGCACGCACGCACGCACGCA